TGTATTACTATAATTATACTCATCTGGCTGTTTGTATTACTATAATTATACTCATCTGGCTGTTTGTATTACTATAATTATACTCATGTCGCTGTTTGTATTACTATAATTATACTCATTTCGCTGTTTGTATTACTATAAGTATACTCATCTGGCTGTTTGTATTACTACAAGTATACTCATCTGGCTGTTTGTATTACTATAATTATACTCATCTGGCTGTTTGTAGTACTGTAATTATACTCATCTGGCTGTTTGTATTACTATGATTATACTCATCTGGCTCTTTGTATTACTATAATTATACTCATGTCGCTGTTTGTATTACTATAATTATACTCATCTGGCTGTTTGTGTTACTATAATTATACTCATCTGGCTGTTTGTATTACTATAATTATACTCATCTGGCTGTTTGTATTACTATAATTATACTCATCTGGCTGTTTGTATTACTATAATTATACTCATGTCGCTGTTTGTATTACTATAATTATACTCATTTCGCTGTTTGTATTACTATAAGTATACTTATCTGGCTGTTTGCGTGACGTGGTAAATCCTTTGGACTTATTGATGAACTAAACTCTAGTGTGATACCAGGTCACACGATGAAACACGTGACGTGGTAAATCCTTTGGACTTATTGATGAACTAAACTCTAGTGTGACACCAGGTGACACGATGAAACACGTGACGTGGTAAATCCTTTGGACTTATTGATGAACTAAACTCTAGTGTGACACCAGGTGACACGATGAAACACGTGACATGGTAAATCGTTTGGACTTATTGATGAACTAAACTCTCAAGCTGATTTATGTGCTATAAAAGTTTCAAATAATGCTGCTGAAGTAATAGTCAGTTACCTCTAGGTTTTCTTGTTCCCTTGGTGTTGTAATTATACAGGAAATACAATTACTTGTGAAAATCTAAGTTTGAATAAGGGACAAGAGTTTTTTGTTTGTTTGATTCTATTCAACACAAAGGTACACAATGAACTATCTGTGATGCGCCTACTATGGGGGTCGAATCCCGATTTTTAGCGTTGTAGCCTTCAGACTTACTACTTAGCGACTGGAGGGAGGGCTGTTTTTATAATGTGTAAATGAAATAGAACCCCGTATGTTTGGAAAAGCAGTAAGTTTGATGGTTTACAATGTTAACTTTCGAGGTTGGATCCCCGTTACGTTTAAACAAGACAAACAAATACTTATATTATTTTTAGAATTTCAGGGTTTTAAATGCTTGGTGTTAATTACAAGAGAATTACGCTTGTACTATAATGTTTTGGTGACGTATTCACAAGACCTAAGTCACGTTGTTTATATTGAAACAAAACATAAACTGATTGCACAAAAGTAATATATCCGTAGATGAAATAGAGCTTATATTAGTATCCTTTTACTTTTATGACTTAAAATAGTGGCTGATTAGGTCGTGGTAGCTTCATATATATATATCGATTACTACAAATATCATAAACGAACACGAAGAACTTCATATTTTATAAGAGATTTCGTTGTTTTTTATGTTGTGTCAGTTTCAACAATGTCATGAAAAAGTTTTGTTTTTGTGAATAACTAAGCCATGGGCGAACTTGACGGTAAAGTTAAGTTTCACGTTTTGAATGTTAATTATTTATTGCAAGATGTTTAATCCATGATTTTGTAACTTTTTTGTTTTACATTTGAAAAAATGACTGAATACAGATGTCCTTTGAAATATTGTGTAGCTTTTTTTTTGTATACAGTAGAATGAGTAATGTAACAGTAATAAAGGTATATTGGACTTTTGACTAACTGGCTCTTCTGTAACTCTTTCTAATTATTTTCTAACACTAAAAATCAGGTTTCAATACCCGCATATGGTACAGATAACCAATTATGAAATTTTGTGCTTAATAACAAACGAAAGAACTGAAACACATGAATGAGAACAAAATAGTCTATTACTATAATGTTTAGCAGATAGTATGATTACAGTAATACAAACAGCCAGATGAGTAAACTTATAGTAACACAAACAGCCAGATAAGTATACTTATAGTAATACAAACAGCGAAATGAGTATAATTATAGTAATACAAACAGCGACATGAGTGTAATTATAGTAATACAAACAGCCAGATGAGTATAATTATAGTAATATGTTTCATCGTGTGACCTGGTATCACACTAGAGTTTAGTTCATCAATAAGTCCAAAGGATTTACCACGTCACGTGTTTCATCTTGTGACCTGGTATCACACCAGAGTTTAGTTCATCAATAAGTCCAAAGGATTTACCACGTCACGTGTTTCATCTTGTGACCTGATAACATTACCCAAAACATGTCTCTAACACTTGACATTATCCTAATCTGACATGTTTTTATCTTGGATAATAATCTCTAAAACTGACATTATCCGAAACCGTTATAGTGTTTGTTAACTCAAATCTTCATTCAAGTTGCTTTTTTTATGGATGCTGAGTTAAAACTTATAATTTTTATTCTGATTTTTTTTTGTTCTGTAATAAAACTTATTAAAACGCAAACAACTAACATTTAGGGGGCTTAATTTTATTGGCATTAAAAAGCCTCGTGTATAATATATTTTGACTGACTTTTTCAAACCGCAGCAAACTGAGGAGCGAGATGTCTACTTGAACAATGTAAGCAAAACCATTCCAAGTGTAGACAGTGCTGTGGAGTCCTGGGACAGTTCAGATTTAGAGATTTCCATTACTGGAGCAAGATCCAAACAAGTTAACCGAGCATCTGATAGTACAGGTATGAATAATGGACAGGAGTTGGGTTGTGTAAAGTTATCAAGTACTGCTCGGTTTCACAGTCCCTATGAGGAGGGGTCGGGAGCCTCCAGAGTCCCCCTGAAGCTCTAATGTTTGGAATACAATGAAGTAGACCTGCATAAACAACATGATTTGATAAGATTGTGATAACTTATCTTTAAGTTTATGTATGTCCTTGGATATCCTACAACAGGAACGGCGCTCCGGTTCGCTCCCCCTCAAGTCAAGAGCTGGCAATGGAGCACGTGACATATTGCAAATATGAACAGCGTACCACGTGACATTGTACTAGATGATAACTTTACTATATAAGCAAGGTTTCAGTAAAAATTAAAACACTATATCTGTGATATTCGTTTTTATAACCTTAGAATTATACCAACCGTATTGTAATTTGTAGTAATTCGATTTTCTTCTACGTCTTATGCTTGATACGTTCTCTTAGAATGCCCCCTCAGTTTAAAGACGAAATATAAATACAGTAAAATGTGAGAATTCTTATATGTGTTTAGATGAGATTCAGAGCTACAATTTAAAGTTGAATTAATACTATAAACGGTATTTTCTGATCATGAATTTCAAACTACTTTACAAAAAATCAGTACCGAGAATATGCACATAATATAGAAATAAAAGATTGTATGTTGAGGGATAAAAATGGTAAATTTCGTGTTGTTTTTATTCATCTTTACCAGAAATATTCCTTATTACAATCCTCACAGGGTCATCTGTTAACCAGAACTTTGAACCTTATGAAACTGACAACAATCCTAAACCAAAACGATGGGAGGATGAGGAGTGGGAAGTTCACACCAATAGTAATCACAGTTTTCAAAGTTGTGGTAGCTGTCGTTCTGGTGGCAAAAGGACTGACTGGTCAGAAGACTCAGAGGACATAGAATCAGAATTCCAAGGAAGAGGTCAGAGCATTATGGGAAGTGATCCAGGTTATATAGACCAATCACATTCCCAGTTTTGTGATGCCTTGCATCCATCTTGTGAAAGTGTGTTTCGTCCAATGTCTCGTGCGGTATCTGTTGAACAAGTCTGTGAGTTTGTTAGTCAACCAGGTTTGCAAGTGACCGGACAGTCAGTTGGTGAAGCACAGAGGTGTAGCACTTTACCTCACGTGACTTCCAGAAGGGGCAGGGAGGTACATCAGAGTGTAGATGGCACTGCAGGATCTTTATATGCTTGTCAGAGTTCTTCGGCTGTTTCCGGACCAGTTGAAATCCACAAAGTAACACTGTTCAAAGATCAGATTTATGAAGATTTTGGGTTTAGCGTTTCTGACGGGCTTTATGAAAGAGGGATTTACGTCAATAAGATACGACCAGCAGGACCTGCCAGTGTCAGTGGTATATTAAAGCCCTTGGACAAAATACTACAGGTTAGTATTGCAGCACTCAGTTAAATAGAAAAGACATTTTGAAGGAAAATAACCCGTCTAATTAATCTACTGAATTTGAGGAAATTAAATAAAAATTAATTTACTATCACGGTACGTACTGGAACTAAACACCAAAAACTTTATTAAAAATTCACTATCAAAACACAGCGAATGTACATTATTTGAAGGCGTATTCTTCTTACACTTTCGATAAACACTGAACATTAACCGACTTTCAGAATGATTAATTTCCTCAGACAGCCCCCCCCCCCAGTGGCACAGCGGCATGTCTGCGGAATTATAACGCTAGAAACCGGGTTTCGATACCCGTGGTGGGCAGAGCACAGATAGCCCTTTGTGTAGCTTTGTGCATAATTACAAACAAATCCTCAGATAGTTTAGTTTGAGAAAAATGATAGCGAGAAAAGATATTTTGAAGAATAAATGTCCATCAGTATACCAGAAAAAAATTAACTGACAAAAAATATAAAGAAGGAAAGTTACTATACTTATTTAACAAAAACTGAAACCCAAACCTCCATCATAAGCTTGTAGAATAAAAACTATTAAAACAATTCAAGTTTATTGTTAAGTGTAAGATCACATTTTCCAAAGACTGTTGTAAGGTTAATTTCCAGAGTATTTTCGTGTTTTTTTCTACTAGGTAAACAACACAAGAACTCAGGACTTTGACTGTTGTCTCGCTGTGCCACTAATAGCAGCAGCCGGAGACCGTATAGAGTTAGTCATTAGCAGGCCAGCATATAAAAGTCGGATTTCTCTAGCAGACAGTGCAAATGGAGGGGGAAGCACGTTTCATGCTTGGGTAGATGAAGACGATAGAGAAGATTGTTCATCTCCTCAGCTTCCACCAGAGGGTGCTGAAATGTTAACCAAGAATCTTTAGTTAATGTGAATAGGAATGGCTGCGGAAATATAAAATTGTAGGCCATTTACTGAAAATGAGTTATATGTTTTTTTCATTGTAAACTAGGCTTAAGTTGACTCATTATTCTGAAGGATGTGTGAAAAAAAAAAGGTTTGTTTCAGAATTCTCCCAGAACACATTTGGTTTCTAAATGTTTGATAAATCATTTTTTGTGTGTAGCTGGAATATATGTCTATATTTCCAATTCATCAAATCTGTATTCTGAAACGCAAATCTTAATTATAATTTTTAAGTTCCAAAAAATTGCCACAGATGTCAGCATTCCATTTTTATTTTTAACGCTAGGCATTTATGAAGACGCGACACCTTTCTCATAAATATATTTATTAATAATAGCTCGTAGTTTAGAACAATTATATTAGTAATTCAGTTTTAAACATCACAAACCATTTACTCCAAGATTTACTGTATAAAGATAAAACCATGAGACTGTAAACAGTCTCATACACTCTTCCATGTTTTGATATCTTACTTCTGATAATGACGAAGTAAGACGTCAAAAAATGTAGTGTATGAGACTATGCCAGTCTCAAAATATTTTATTTAAAACAACTTAAAGTCTGGAGGTAATATGTTTCAAAGAAATCATAATGTATATGTGTTTAAAAGTTTCTTAATGAATTTTCGAAACTTAAGTTTATCCGTGAAAATATATCGAAGACGGAAGGATTGTTATCCAAATATGAACGCGTTTTAAGCCTAAGTGTTCTAAGCCCCATGTAGATAGATATTTTATCGTGTCCAAAAAATAAAATAGCAATTTTGTGTGATACCAGGTGACATGATGAAACACGTGACGTGGTAAATCCTTTGGACTTATTGATGAACTAAACTCTAGTGTGATAGTGTTAGATATTGTTACCC